GAGAGAGAGAGAGAGAAAGATTGAGTGTGTATGTGTGCATTTGTGTCTAAGTGTGCACCTATATAATTGTGCTATACATGCTGAAGGGGATTTTGTGTTTAGGGGCACTCCAACACCAGTCTCTCTCGCTGTCTCACACACCACACCACACCACACACTATAGAATAAATTCTGTTTTGCTATTTCATTTGAAGTCAAGAATCTAAGTACTCAGCTGCAGTACTCACCCCAAGCACACATTTCTTAATAACTGTTCATGGTCATATTAAGAGAGAGAGAGAGTATGTGTTGATGTGTGTGTGTGTGTGAGAGAGAGAGAGAGGAGAGAGAAAGAGAGAGAGAGAGAGGGATTAGAGTGAAGAGAGGAAAGAGAAGTGGGGCAAAGAAGAAAAGGGAGGGGAACATGATAAAAGAGGAGTTGTGGGGAAATTTGCAGAGTATGATCACTCTAATATTACCGACTCTTAGTTGCAGGAGACACAGGGGCACGATTAGAAAATTCAAGTTGGCTTTGTTGCTGGTGGAGTGTGATACTGTGAAAACCTCGCTCAGTCAGAAAAATGTGGCCTGTTTGGGTGTGTAGTACTGCAAGAAAAAAAAAGAAGGTGAAGGTTTGCTCCGAAATACGACAAAGACGACACCTGCTGTGTTAAAAAACGACTGAAAATGAAATGAGCTTTGGCTGACAGAATAACACCAGTTGGATTTGTGGATGATTTGTAATTTACCTTTAAACCAAGAGCTTCTGTAAATGATTATTCAAAGTTTTACTTAAAGAAATGTACAAAAAAAAGGTAAAATTATGGATTTTGTCCTTTCTTATTGATCACACACTGTAATTATAACTCCACATGAACAGCATCCATTCACATTTTGAGCATATTCTGGCCTCCAAATTCAAAATATTTCAGTAATCCAAACCCTTTACCAGCCTGAACCTCTCCATGCCGCAAAGTTTTTCACAAAAAACAAGGATGTAATTCTCCAAATCGGGTCCCTGAAGAGGAGGCAGAGGCTCATACTGTACATTTCTAGCTCGATTCAAACTGCCAAACCAGCAGTCATTTGATCAAGTGACAGTGATTCCACTTGTTTGCCAAACGCTTAGAATTGATCAATTACCGCAGCGAGAGTCTCCCCGGCAAGCACTTATAGCAGATAGCAGAGCAAACCTAAAGCCCTCATGAATAAGAAAATCCAATAGGGAGAAAAGAATGAGACAGAGTATGGGGAGGAAAAAAGACAAGGAAAAGGGGTGAAGATAAAGAGTGGGAGGCACGAGAAAGAGTCAAGCAAGAGAGTGAAAGATGATAAGAGAAAGAGGAGAAAGAGAGGGAGGGGCAGACAGATGACAAAGGAGAGAGAGAGAGAGAGA